GTAGGTAAGACAGAACACACACAGACACACACACATGCACACACACACACAGCTTGACAGTCTGTCCGTTGGGTGAAGAAGATTCATTTGGATTCTCATCTCTTCCCCTACCACTTCCCTTTCTGCGTCTGCCCTTTCTTTTTCGGCTCTCCCTCTTTCTCTACTTATCTCCCCTCTGTATATTCACTTTACTCTCTCTCTCGCTCCTTCCCCCTCTTTCTCTTTCTCTCCGTCTTTCCCTCCACATCACTGTGAGTGACAGTGGTTTGACCTCCGGGGTTGTCAGGGGAGGCTGTTGCACAGACGGCCTGAATAGAGGGGCTTTGTGCAAGTCAGCTGAGAGTTGGAGGATGAGGAAATCCTGCAGCCACCTTTCCTACCAGACACACCATCTACATATTATACACATTGAGTTCAGCTGTGCAAGATCATTCTCTAAAGTTGCATATTAACTGATTATGAAAGGATATTTGGTTATTTTCAATTTGTTCTCTTTTTTCATACATGGGGCCATCGTTTATGTCGACTATGAGATTTGCACCTGCTGACATTGCTGCGACAAAGTCCAATGGAGCAAAATAAGTTGACTGACCTCAAGCCGGTTTTATTTAGACAGGCCAAAATCACAGTCTCAGGGGTCTTTAGAGTTCACTCCACTTCACTTCAATGGCCACATGATGAAGAGTCGGTAACATTTGTGCAGAATTCATTAACACATAGGCAGACATATCAGATAATAAACGTTGTACATCATGACAACCTCAGCTAATCAATTTGAATAAAGAAACATTTGTGAAAAGCGAGAAAGGGTATGAGCAGTCAGAGAACCAGGTTTTAAGCAAGCCAAATTGTCCATATTTTGATGTTAAACAGAAACCAAAATCTAAAAAGGAAGTCAACAATTTCTCATTCCACAGAAAAAACACAAAGTAAAAACTACAGCAGGTACAAGCCTGTAATCTGCATGGATGTATCAGAGTTCATGGTTACAATGTGCCAAATAAGCCTGGCTTATCATTTCACCATTTACCATCTGGAACTAAAAATCCTGTGCAGCCTGCATAACAAAGATCAATCATTGCTCTTTGTATGATGGATGTATAAACCATGGAGGCAGATTTTTTTCACGACTTTTGGTAAAGCCTACAGTCTAAAACTAACCATTTGATGTGTGGGTCTTCATCTCAATAGTGTAGTGGTTGAACGCAAGAGACACTAATGCACATGGGAAGCAAGTATCTACTGTAGTTTGAGCTATACAAGGTGACTAATCGATAAATACGTTTCAGTTTTAAATTTGAACCATTTTCTTTTTTTCAATTGATCTATTCTAAACTGTGGGCTTATTTAAACTCTGTGTGATCACCTGCCTGCTCAAGTCTCTTGCCCTATATGACTTCTTAAAAATGATTTATAGTGAGCTTGCCCTAAGAAATGATGGAAATAATCCGTAAATTGTCAACAACCAGAAACCTTTTTCTCTGTTTTCTGCCTGTGGTGTTCATCCTCAGTCTGACTTTATTGGGAAACTATAGTGTAATATTTCACGATGCACTTGGGAGGGGGGAGCTTTTCTCCCAGTGTGACTACAGGATAGTGAACAAGGCAGTTACTGTGAGCCAAAGCAGAGCAGTGTGATGTTGTATGACTGACACGCAGGTAAGAGGAAACAGACAGAGGTCATATAGAGGTCAAAAGGGAGCGTAGAGCTGTCTTACTGTGTGTGTGTGTGTGTGTGTGTGTGTGTGTGTGTGTGTGTGTGTGTGTGTGTGTGTGTGTGTGTGTGTGTGTGTGTGTGTGTGTGTGTGTGTGTGTGTGAAAGAGAGGGAGACAGAGGATAGATTAGGTATAAATTGAATCCTTTCCAATTGAGAAACTATTCTCTGTTCATCCCTTCTCAAACACACACACACACACCTGCCTCCCTCACACACACAATGTGAGGGTGAGACAGGTGTTAAGCATGAAATTGATTCCACCCTCTATTCAATACACACACCACAAACCCTCTCTTTCCATCTTCCACTATTTCCTCCCTCCCTTATCTCTAAGCCACCATCCTCCTCTCCTTCCCTCTTTCTTCATCCTCCAGATCCTTCTTTACACACTTTCTTCAGATATTCTTTTTCCTGTCTGATGCGACCGACAGTGTGTCACAGCTCTTGCAGGACAGTGAACAGTACATTTGAGGTTGTTAAATGTTTTTTTGCCCCAGTACGTTACAAGCTGCTGTCAAATTCCTTAAAAAATGTATGTTGCTGTACAGTAAATCGTTGTATTTCCAGGCAGATGCCTCATGTGAAACTCTGCTCTGTTGCTTCTCACACCCACACAGATTTATTGTTTTTTGTAGTGAGAGAAAAAAACACCATTTATGGGTGATAATGTTTTTTTTTTCTTTCTGTAATCTCTCTCTTTCTCTAATGTGTCTTTTATTGCACCAGTACAGAACAAAGCCCTCAGGCGGCACACACACACACACACACACACACACACACACACACACACACACACACACACACACACACACACACACACACACACACACACACACACACACACACACACACACACCGTCTTCCTACCACAGACGCATTAACAAACGAAACATAGCATGTTACAGTATGTTGGGATTAATAAAAATTGATCGCACAATGTGAAGAACTCACACTCAAATATACATCTACTCATGTGAGCAAAAGCATAAAATACACACTGTTGCTGTCCTGATCTCAGTGTTCCAGTGCAGCACTAATTCTGTGTCGTTTGTCAGTTCGTTGACAGTTGCTCACACAAAACAATAACTGGTTGTGTGTTTTTCACTCGTTTTATGAGCAAAAAACTGTATTTAACTTTTAGCCCTTGGCTACAGATCAGGCAGACAGAGGAAGGAGAAACAGAGACAGAAAGTGGAGGAGACAGAGGAACCAGACATTGCAAAAAAAGGGAGGAGAAATGGCTGTGTGTGTGTGTGTGTGTGTGTGTGTGTGTGTGTGTGTGTGTGTGTGTGTGTGTGTGTGTGTGTGTGTACCCTGTTGCCAGTGCTATTAAAGTTGTATTGCACAGGGCTTTTAGAACATCGACCATCAGCCAAGCAACTAATAATTTTTTCAAAACCCAAGTGCTTTGTGCATGTCAGGGCTCCTCCCCGAAGTGTGTGTGGGCGGTGTAAGAGTTGGGATTGTCGGCCTGTATTTGTATAAGACTTTTGCATCATATTCTCAGGAACACACGAACACACACATGACCCTTCTTATAAAAGCACTGTAGCATGAAAATGGTTCATAAGAATTTGATGTTTGCAGCATCATGATTGAAAATTGATATGAATCGGTTTTTTTGCTTCTGTATCCAGGCCTGTCTTCTACATGCCTTGAAACAAGTGTCTTTACAAATGTTATGCCAAAACCTTTCCACAAGTAAAAACAGGTGAAAAGAGTTAAGGCCAATAGGAAGAGAGACCGAGAAGTATTATCTTTCTTATTTCTGAAATTGCAGAAGGTAGGCCCACTACCACCACAAGGAGAAGAGGATAGGACCAAGAAGAGACATAAAGGGTGACTTATATCCACATTTTATAGATTTTTCTAGAGTTGTATATTTAATAAAATAAACATAAACATTTTGTGTGTCGTGTCCCTTTACTTTGTGCAACAGGGTTGATATTGTTGAGTCATGATGACACTATGAAGATTACACCTCCCCTCTTGATTTGCCTTCATGTGTTAAGATTGTTTTAGTGAGAAATCCAATGCTAATAACAAACGCAAAGACAATTTTATAATTAAAAAAATATATTAATGTTCTTTTCTTTTCTCAGATAAGCCAGATATGTGTGACTACGTTGTTTCACTTTGTCTTTTAAAAAAGATTTGTAAAGGCCGGAAATCTGCCACGTAGTAATGAAGAGGAAAAACATGTCTTCCCCCCCTATTGTAGAGAACACATACAGTACGAAGACCTATGTTCCTATACGAATGTCCCAAAAACTCAAAGACAACACACTCAAGGTGACTCTGTCCAAAAACTGGCAAGCAATGCTTTGTCTGTGAGATAAAGAGAAAGACAAAAAAGAGAGAATAGAGAAGGGAGAAAGAGAGGAAGAGAGAGATTAGGGGAGGGAGAGAGAGGGCAGGGGGGTGTATGCGGCAAAACAGAGAAGGACAGACTGAAGTCATTCAAGCTTTTCTTCCCCTTGAATAATCCCAGTTTTGTCCAAATGTAGTTGGAGGAGATTGTGGAACATCCAGTCCTTGACATCTGCCAGAAAGTCATGTAACAGCACCAACTTATATTCTTCCGACTGAATCGCTCGTGTTTTTATTTCTCTGTCCACATAAACTCTTTTCCCTTACCTATTTCCATTGAAGTCCACTTAGATATTTCTCTCTCGGTCAGTCAGTAATGCAATATTATGTATTTGTTTGTATAGTGTTTGAGGGGCTGTATTAAAGAAGGCCAAAATGACCCATTAGTGCTCCCTTTATTGGGGACAATTACTCTGAAAGCTGTACAAAATAAAATGGTAATGACCATTCATCATGTTGTTGTCCTTGAAAAACAAAAAAATACCTGATATAATATAATAATTGTATTATTGCACATATATGTACTATATCGCAATATAAAAACCTCTTTGGTGGGGGAAGTAGATACAAAATCCTTTATACACATTTTCCATATAACAGTCAACTGTTTAATATTTAAGTTTTGGTTACCTCAGAAAATGAATATTAGTACACCTTGAAAAATGTGCCTCCTGAATGGTCCTTGATGCTATGGGGGACAGAACAGTGCAGAACATTTAATCAAATGTAGGGATTATTAATGCATGGTTTAATCTACATCAAACCATGTCTCTGCAGGTTAGACACAGCACCCTCTTCACTAGCACAAAATGTACAAGTTCCCACAAACTAAGAAGTTCAGGAAGTACAGTAAATGGAGTAGCAACAGTATAATGCTCAAGGACATTTATTTCATGGTGAAGCAAGGCACTTTTAGACAGACTCATCCGACTCTGAAACCTCCACAGACTCGCCGTCCACATGTGAAAGCGGCAGTGCGTCACGAGGCAAAGCGTACTCAGCCATGTTGGGGAGTCCGGACACCACACAGCAGCTCAGGGCGCTGCGGAATATCTCCATGTCACAGGCTTTGCACCACTCGTCCGTTATTGAGTTGTAGTATTCAACGTCATAGGAGGTGTTGAAGCCGTTGAAGCCACCAACAACAAAGATACGACCTTCGAGCACTTCGATGCCAAAGTTGCTTCGGGGAGACAACATGGAGGACAGTTCGTGCCAGGTGTTTCTCCGGGGGTCGTAAGCCTCAGCATTGCGCAGACGGGTGGTGCCGTCAAAGCCACCAACCTTTGGGAGGAAAAGCAGAGAAATCATGGTTAGATTTTTTTAAATGGAGATCGGAGCCAGCCTCTCAACACACTTGAGAGAATAAAAAACACCGGCCCTCAAAGGTTTTTCTGAGTCTAAAAAAAAGAATGCTGACCAAAACTTATATTATTATTTGAGCATCATCAGTGTTCAATGTACTTACTGCAAAGATATGGTCTGCATGTGCAATGATCCCAACGCCACTGCGGCGGCAGTTCATGAGTGCGATCGCTGTCCACTGGTTGGTCTCTGGGCAGTAAGATTCAGCTGTTTGCAGGCACTCGTTTCCATTGAAGCCTCCACAAATGTAAACCTGGTGAGAACAGGAGTTGTTTCAGTCAAATGTGGACTTGTCTTGGCTGCAACTGTTATTAATTTGTTTGTGTGTATGTTGTATAAAACACTTTTTTTGGGCAAAGAAATAAAGATTTTGTAAATGAATTGGGACCTTGTTAAAAGGTTTAACAACAATATTGTAGGTGTTAGCTCAAACAAATCTAATTTCATTCAGCGTTTAATGAATATAAGCATGCCAATATGTATTTAAGTTGTTATTTTAGAGCGATGGACAAGCTTTACACAATATGCTTTCAAACTTTAAATAAATCCATCAATGTGAGAAATGACAACTAGGTCCATAAACATAATAACTTGTTTATGCATAAATGTTCAACCTGTTGATCTTCCTGCTTACAACAACCTCACACAATTAACGTCAGTATTTAATACTGCCATGCACATCTCTAATCACTTCCAAGCACATCAAATCATATATTCTTCCAGTTGCATAAGACCTCTACTCTGCCACCATCCTCTAGCCAATTATTTCGCTTACCTCAATATAACTGCAAAAGGTCAAGCAGTAGGCTAATTGTGGACCTTTGCTAATATCTTAGAGTTTGGTTTTATTTACAATAATCATTACACTCTTGTTTCAAACAGGCAATAATAATAATAATAATAATAAGGTAATCCCAGCTGCTCTTTGACTTCACCAACCTTGTCATGGAGTGTTGTGCAGCTCGCGTCGCTCCTTTGCTCGCTCATGGGTGCAATCAGACTCCACTGGTTGGTCTCGGGCATGTAACGCTCTGCTGTGCTGAGTCGTGTATGTCCGTCATAACCTCCCATGGCATAGATGCATCCGTTCAGCACGGTGACGCTCACATAGCAGCGGCGGTAGTACATCGATGCCACCTCATGCCAGGTGTGTGTGTTCGGGTCATACCTGCGAACACTGTTGAAATGCTCCACCCTGTCAAAGCCACCAACACAGTAGATATCCCCGTTGAGGAAGGCAGTGCCGTGATAGGCTCGGGGACGCTCGTGACTGTTTGACACGTTGACCCAGCTGTCTGTGCGGATGTCGTACGCCTCGATGCCGTTAGTTGGATCTCCACCACTCCAGCCTCCGATGGCCAGCAGGACGCTGTTAGGCAGGCGAGGACGGGCGAGATGGTTGCAGAGGACAGAACTATAGTTTGGTCTGATGCAAGTGATGATATCAAGGGCTTTTCTAGCCATGAGCTTGCACTCAATGTTGTTTTTCACCAGCTCATTAGACATCACATTGCTCTTTAAATAGTCCTCACTCATCAAGGCCAGCCGGACCTGCTCAGGGAAGACAGGACAGAATCTTTTATTTGAACTTAATAGACCTGGCCTCTGTTTCCCTGTTGCTCAAGATGTTTATTTAAACTAAATGTAATGAAAGAAATGTATCATACCTTGGACAGGAGTGTAGCGAAGTGCCCTTCACGCTCTTCCGGTAAATAGGCAATCCAGAGAATGATGGCCTCAAACACAGTGCTCTCTTCTTTCACGTTGAGTTCGTCTCTACCAATGATCTCAATGATATTTCCCACAGAAAGCTGCTGGAACTCTTGGGAGAAAACAACCTCCTCAAAGTGAGCAAGGACATAGCTGAAGGCCTTGTGTTGCAGTCGGGAGCAGTTGATGGTTTTGGTAAACCGATGGATGCCAATGCAGTTCTTTACGGAGAGCTGCTCCTCCATGAAGTCGCAACAATTTTGCACGATGCCTGGGACATCGAACTGATCCGCTGCAAGCAGGAGCTCCTCCACATTGTCCCCAGTCACATGAACACTGCCAGTGTATGCAAACTCAATGATAAGCGCCATCATGTCCGCAGACAGGCCACCTATGTTGAAGACCTGCTGACCTGGAGCTGACCAGCGTCTGAAGAAAGCTCTGAAGGATGGAGGAAGGGATTCAAAATAAGATTCAAAATAAACAGTTTTTGTTAATATAAATCGTTAAAACGTATTTTTTATTTATTTAAATAAGCAAATATAACTGTGCACACATAGCCTTAAACCAAAGCACTTAAGGGCACTGTATGGCCTAATCTGGGGACATTTTGAAGAAAAATAGGATCGATTACTCCGAATCGGTATTGGTCAATCAGATATCTCTCCTATGTCGAATTTGTTTAATCAGAAATGCTCCATGAATCCGTGAGTCACTAATTACATGTGATTACTGTGCCCCTTACACATGGATCATAAACTGTTGTCAATTTGCTTTCATATTTTTACTTACAGGAAGTACTTGCTGCATTTACACAGGATGACTTTGTGAATTTGAAATTCGACATCCTTGACTCTGATGACTGCATCGCAAAAGTCTCCCTCTTGGCGGAGATCATTAAACACTGAGCTTGACATAGCCATGCTTCTGTCAGTCACTTTGAATTTGTTATTTGAAAGAGGTTCTTCTCAGTCTTTTGGTTGTTAACTTGTTTGTCTCTTGACATTGAATGAGTGAGTTCAGTCAGGAATGGGAATGAGAACACTCCCTCTGTGTTGGGGTTCTAGATCTCTAGAACCAGGATTCCATTCCAGAACTCAATACTTCCATTCCATCATTTGAACTCATACGATGTCAAAAGCAATGAACTTAACCAGTAGACCATTAGATGTACATAAAAGCATGAACATAAGCATTATTTGTTGTTATAAGCTTGTTTTTGTGTGTTTTACAGTTTTCAACAAAGTGCTAAATACAATTGTGTGGATACGTTTCACATTCATCCTAAACAATACTGATTTTGCAAGAGAAATATAAATTAACATAACAATAATCACCATATTTCTTTTGAATTAACCAAATAACCATGGCAAATTGCTCATTGTGTACAGATTATAGAGGTCAAAATGAGTGAAATGGCCTTTTATGAATAAAATTCACTTGGTTTGTGTAAATCACCACCCAGTTTGTCTTACAGAGGTCCACCAGTTAAATAAGCAACTCAGCGATTTGACTACTTACTACAACAGATCTGACTCATACTCTACATTGAAATCCATGATAATGTTTTGCTAAAACTTTCAGAGAAGTGTTAATATGTTTATATCGAGATTTTAGCTTGCAGTGCTATACATTCAGGAAGGAAGGAAGGCTTTATGCACAGATCAAACGCACATGGATCCAACCCAAAATCTGCTCTCACTCCCTGGTACTAAAGCGCTGCTTCCTCAAGGGCAAACACAGCAGGTAGCCTGAGATTTAATTAGCTAGTTAGCCTCTGGTTGAGTGAGTAAAGACCCCATCCAAGAGAAATCTGAGCTCAGTTCGCGACTTTCTACTGAGATAAATAAGAAATGTGTGCGGCAGTGAACAGTAGGAGAGAGCATTGAAGTGATAAATGGCTGCTAAATAGAGCAGCTTCTGATGAAACAGTATCAGAGGAGGTGATCATAAAGACAAAGAGGCAATGGATAAGAATGACTGTAATCAAACACATCTTAGCAAACTACTTCTTTATGCTTGTTTTCAAATCAGTGGCCGGCTAATCTGTCTTGAAGGCAAAACAACTCAGGAGTGAGATGTCAAAACAGCGTGAGCTGAATATTTAGAGGGAAATACGTTTTCAAAGCCCCAAAAGCAACAAACTAGAACTATAAATCACAAAATGGGACAGATTTGTGTTCTTCATCAATAACAATTACCCTGAAAACTAATTTTCAAATGAAGGAATTAAAAACTGTACTGAAGCCTGTTTTTTTATTTGAATGGCTGAAAGATCAATGACACAGAGACGTGTGTGTGACAGGCACATTATGAGATTTATTTATATGGATCTGTTTGAACACAGCTTCCTGGTTCATACAGTAGATGAAAATCCTTCTTACTTTGGATGACTTCTTCTTTAGCGCTCGAATAGGTTGACATTTGTGGTTTTACTGTAAGTGAAATATCAAATATTTTATACATTTGGGCTAGTTATTTCACTTAACAGAGATGTGATATGAAGCTATGTGGGCACTGACTATTGTTTGTGTTTTAATGTATGTTTGCAGTGTTTGCACTTGATTATTGGATACTCTATGAACATTTTCATTAGGCTAAGAAAATTGCCCAAAATATAAAAACAGGGATTGGCAGTAGACTAACACAAATGTTTACATATGAAAAGGTTTTTTTGTTTGTTTTTCAGTTCTTTGAAAGGTAAGATTTACATAGATCATCTTCCGTTTAGTGCCTGAGCGATGTGCCTTCAAACTCAGCATCAGTCGGGAAAAATTGTTGCCATAAATTTCACTTATTGCAATAAAATGGAAATGGAGTCTTATTTGTCAATCGGGGCTCTCCATTTCTCTCTTCTCGGAAAATGTTTCCTGTGTGAGGTTAAGCAAGCATAACCATGATTAACTGGAAATATAATTAAACAATCCCTCTGAGCATCTATCAGTCATTATGCCAGAATGTGACAGTGTTAATACTCAGAGATTTTAACATGCATGAGGGAGAAACAAAGAAACTGGAGTCCCAACGTGTGATAAGAACAGAGATATGACTGGACACTAATGAAGATGTATGTAGCCAATAGATATCACTGTGTGTGTGTGAGTGGGAGTGTGTGTGTCTTCTTTGAAAGAATATGGACTTCATCGGGATCTAAATTGCCTCTACAATAGCTTAATAAATGCATGTAGAAAAAAATAAATTACGCTTGTCAGTTACAATTTATTCAAATAGTAAAAAGTCTATTGCTTTATCATCCATGTCATGTCTGTGAATCTAACTGCCGTTACTACATCCTACTGATTCATAAATTATCCCCCGCTGACTTTTTTTCTTATCACCTTCTGCACTGCTGAAGTATAAATGTGTGTTTAAATGAAACGAATAAAATGTTACAGACTCCTTGTTTGTACGTGGTGTGATGCAAAAACTCTCTGCCAATATTTCCACCTCGATACGACCTCTTCTGCCTGTCACAAACACTTGGACACAGAATAACAAGAAAGCTCTTGTGACCTCTGACCTTTGTTCAAGAAACAGCCTGCAGTAGGATTTGATTCTTAGTCTGTCTGCAACAAAGTCAGACTGAAATAGAAACAAGCATTTTGCCACATATTTGTATGATTGTTTATATCAAGTGTTTTGTTAGTAACTGTTAACCAGCTAAATTAGAAACCACAGCAACAGAACGTTTAAAAAAAGTATTCCATTAAAGTTGACAAAAGAAAATGAGAAATAATGCCTGTTCCATCCACTACTGCTATGCAAAGAACAGCAGTCGGGGGTATGGAGATAAACGTTTGGCAGCAGAAGAAGAGAACAATGTAATCACGTGGATGGACAATCACTTTATAACAGCCATGCAGTAAAGTGTTGTTATAAATCACAGTCAGACTGATACATTTTGCAAACTCCCAACTGTAATGTTGCATTGTGGGTATGCCAGGTTTTGGCATAGTAGAAGAAAGTGTGACGTAAGAAAGAGGATATCTCTGGTCCTACTACTCCAATCCTTCTGACAATATTATCGGAGTGCAATGATTAATTGGATCAAACCATTCAGAAGTTCAGTAGTTTCTTTTCCTGTTTGCAAAAACATTTAAAAGCCTGAACTATAGTACTCTACTTTCATAGACTTGCTAGCTTTAGGATAAAAAACCACAAGGTCCACAGGCATTTCCCCTTAGGCAAAGATTTGTGTCAGTGCCATGTTCAATACACATGATCGCAGTAAACAGAATCCAGTTGCACTGTTGCTTCTGAGATCAATGGCGAAAACTGCCGCTCTATATGTCTGATTTTTTTTTCCCGGACAGTCTTGAAGGAGTAAATGATGGATGTGGATTAAGGGAGAGAGAAGAGAGTGTGAGAGGGCAAAAGAGAGAGGACACGAGGAGGAGAAAGAAGCTCTGCAGCAGCTGGAATTGATTTTTTAGGAAGCGACGGAGGGAAGCAGGAAACTGCTGCCACATCCCCTGGAGCCTCCCTCTGACACACACACACAGGCTACACCAACTCTCCCCACACACACACACCTGTGAGAACACACCTGCACATACACACTTTGCTGATTCTGCACATAACACACACTCTCTATCACACTCCTGCCTCGCTCTTCCTTTTAACCTTGCACAATCCCACACTCAAATCAGTTAAGAACATTGCAAATGTTTCTTTGTTGGGGGTTTTCCTCCCATCAGAGCAGCTAAATTAGCTCTCTGGTAGACTCTGTTTCACTTCAAAAAGCAACACGGGCACAGAAATAATGAAAAATACCTATGTGAGTTTGAGTACAGTTCATTACGATGATATTGATCTTCTCAGTAGAAAAGGCTCCGAGGCTTCTGCTGCCACGGTTTACTTCAGAGGCTACAACAGAGTTTCGATTTATGATGACTCAGCAGGAAAAGAGCCACAGATAGGAAACTAAAGTGTGTGTTTATATGCTCTTTAAGACTTACTTAAAAATCCAAGACACAGATCATCAACAAGTGATCTCAGTATTTAGGTTTAGATAACACTAAAAAAGCCAACTAGCACATTCGCTGTGTATTTTTTCCCCACTGAGTTGAAGCTGCTCATGAAGGTTATTAGACATTTGGTCTACTAGTTTTGTCCTGCTTTTTACAATTTTGCAATCCCAGCTATGCTTCCTTATAAAGCATTAGATTTGCTGAACACATCAGTGAGTCCTTACACTAAAACACATCTTGTCTCGTCATGTTACAAATAAACACGTTCGGTTTTTAAATGAAAACAAACATCTGAGATAAGCAGCCAAACAGCATTATGTTAGAAGAAAAGGACATTAATATCTTATTTTTAAGCTCTACAAGGCTGTACATTTCTTCAACATTAATCAATAACTGATGAGGATGCTATTTCTTGGTTTCACAGCTAAAATCAAAAGCTTTTATTTGATTGTTAACTGCAGTGACACAGCTGAGTAAAATCATGTTTTTCCATTTAATTTTTAAACACATTAGGACTATCAGTGCAACATTTTCTATAAAAGAATGCACACATATAATTAAACTCGGGAGAAAGCAGAACAAATCTCTTGCTAACTCCCTCGTTGCCTCAATAATTGGTTGAATAACTTTAAGGGTAGGAACTCCTCATATTTCTTTCTGCTGAGGAAGAATGTGCATGCTTTCCGAATTTTTAAATCAAAACAAGAGCTGTGATGCATCTGCTAAATGCACCCTCATTCATCCTCAACTGGTATTGTGTGTTATTTAGCCTTCCTAGAGGACTAAACAAAATAAACGAACTGTTGCATGAAATAAATATGTCTGTGGTTCTCTTTTAGTGTGTGTGTGTGTGAATGTGTGTGAACAGAAAGTAATGAAAAACAGCACGTTTGCTCAAGCAGCTTAACCCAGACAAATAAAGGTTAATGAAATACGAGCCCTTA